CTGAAAGTTCAGGGATCAAAGTGACGGTTTACTCAACTCAGTAAGATCATCCCTGACAGAACTTAAAAGGTCTGCATGTTCCCTCATTGAGTTTATATTCCCCTTGATACGTACGCCTAAATTCCTGAGAAGAATGACAAACATGTTAAAATTCAACTCATTAAGTAACAGAAATTTTTACCGTATCAATATTCAACTCATACAGTAATGTAAGAATTTATAAGAGCCAGCTAGTTCCTTCACAAGCTTTCTCAATATCCATGGTCAGAAAACTGAATTGAAATGTCACAAGAGGTTTGCTTAGTTTTATTGCAGAATTTACATTTTCTGTTTCTTTTAGCTAGAACTTTTGACCAAAACATCACACGTGGCCCTTTCTTAGTAGCCTCCTGCATTAGCAAAGGAATGGACCACAAGAACATCTGAGGATCAATTTTTCTACTTCAATTCTTACTGTAGGAGGATATCTCATATCTTACTGGTTAATTCTTCCACTGACCATATTTATAAGAGCTCAAGCCAGATGGATATGCAATTTACTCTTTGATCCTTATTCATCAAAGTTATAGCTTAAGATGCTTACAATATGGATAAGACAAATAATAAAGTCCAGACACATCCCAATCTTCAGTTAAACCTTGCTAGAGAGAGAAATCAAATCAAGATATGAAAGTCAGTCAATTCATTTCCACTTCAGTAGTTCTTCTCTCCACTTTCAAGATGTTCAGAATAGCATTAAGTAAATGCGGTGATGGGTTAACAAAAATCACCACCTATCTGGTTGTGCAGTTAACACAGGTTTGACATTAAATGATAGTACAAGCTAGTAATAAAGAACTGATTCCCCATACTTGTTTTGAAATCAAGTATCAGAACAATGAATACTAGTAATGGGATTCATTTCACGGGGAGAAATATTCAAAAAAGTAACAGCTTCAGTGGGTCACATACCCCTAAACAATGAAGTGAAAATAAGAAAAATATCAAAGACTGCAAACATAACTGCTTTTTTCAACCAAGAATATGGAAAATGAACCAATTCTTAGAGTCAGTTAATTCAGCATGAAAAAAAATCCAATGCAATCAATGTCCATCCATCCACTAAAAAAATGAATACATACACAAAGAATACCAATTAAAACAACCCCAATGTACTTCTGTAACAATCTATACTTCCAATTCCAGAGTCCAAACATTGGTGAAAAGCCAACAACCCGCACTATAAACTAAATTCCACATTTAACAAAATAGTAAAATTATTTAATGTTTTGTTTATTTAGATGCAACTTCTAGTGTAAATTAGAATGATTATCGTTTTCTAGAACTGGTAAATTGAGACGGAAAGGGTAGTGCTTTTAAGTTAATCAATTAACAAAGTTAGTGCAAAATTAATTGGGTGTATGTCATGTTTGGATTCAAAGTTGAGTTCACACAATAATGTGTCTCAAACAAAAAATGGCCTAATTTCACACATTATTGAGTCTAACGGACACAAACTGGTCTCATCTACCTCCGGTTCTAATGTGTATGGACACGACAATTAATGAAATTGAAAAGGTTTGAGATAATTTGTTGAGGTGCCTACAAGAATAGTCCACCCTTCTTCATTGTGCACAAATATGACTCCAACTACTCTCATGTTCAAATGCAATGCAATTCAGTTTCATTCTCTCAATTAGTCATTTCATATGTAACACTTTCTTTTGTTACACATTTTATATGTAATACCAGCTTAAATATAAAATAAAGAAAGAAAACACAACTAGACTAGTTTAAAGTAGTAGTTTAATTTAATACAAGTAGTAATAAGTAATGACAAATGACTCCCGAGAAAACATAACTAGAGTAGCTTAGAGAGTTTAATACAAGTAATGACAAATGATTCCCGAGAAACCATGCAAACATCGACATAGTAATAAATAGGATAATACTATTAAAGATACCATACATTGCATCAGAGGTACACATTATTTACATTATAAATAGGATAATATAGCAATGGAAGCATGACTTCAACCAGAAATTCCTGTTATCTTCAGTAGCTCAGCAGCCTCAATTGCAGCATCTGCGATTGCCCTACCATGCAACCTACCAGCTTGACTTCCCGAATACTCCCCCGGGTACTATATATAAGAAACATGGGACTCATTTCATCAATACCAATAAAACATTTAAATGATGTTATTTCTAATTAATGATTAGAGGAAGTTACAAAAATGTCCATGTATTAATGCATCAATTTACATAGAAAATTGTAAAAAGTAAATTAAATTAGGGATAAAAAGGATTTTTCAACTGTTTCTAGCAATTAATATACCTAGAAAAGGTACAAAGTTTCTTATATATAGGACCAAGAAGAAGTCACTTTTTGTTTCTTATAAAAAGGACCCTAGTGCTACAACTTTCAGATCTCTGCCAAATAAATTTTTTATATGGATGAGAAAAGATGTAATATAATGATTGAAATCACAAGACTAATATTCATTTACCAGGCCACCATAGAGGAAATGAACGGTGAAAACTAGGAAATTTAAGCATAGAAAAGACATAATGAAATTACTATGCTAATCTTCAACCACTAGACTAATCTTCAACTACCAGGCAACCATAAGAGTATATGAATGGTGAAAACTAGGAAATTTAAGCATAGAAAAGACATAATGAAATCACTATGCTAATCTTAGACTACCAGGCTAATATTCATTTACCAGGCCACCATAGAGGAAATGAACAGTGAAAACTAGGAAATTTAGGGCCTGTTTGCTTTCCATTTTCATTTTTTGTTTTTATTTTCTATGTGTTTAGTTCAAAAGTGAGAGGAGAAGGATTAGAAAGTAATGTGTTTGTGTTTAGTTTGCAAAGAGAGATGAGGAGATTTTAGAAAACAAGGAAAACAAATAATAGTTGTTTTGTAACACAAATCTTAAAAATAGAAAACAAAATGGAAGTATAATGTGATACTTTTGTAATGCAATTACTCACAAAAATAAAGAATGAAAACAGAAAATGAAAATGGAAATCAAACAGACCCTTAAGCATAGAAAAGACATGGAGAAATTACTATGCTAATCTTCAACCACTAGACTAATCTTCCACTACCAGGCAACCAGGGAGGATATGAATGGTGAAAACTAGGAAATTTAAGCACTATGCTAATCTTAGACTACCAGGCTACCATAGAGACAATGAAAAATGAAAATGAAAGGTAAAAACGGAGGAAATTGAAACATGCAAGAGGCACAGGTACCAGTTTTAGCTCAGTAGCCTCAATTGCAGCATCTGCGATTGCTCCAGCATGCCGCCTATCAGTTTGACTTGCCGAATATTTCTCTCTAAGTGCTACAACTCTTTCAGATTTCTGTCATAAATAAATTTCTGATATGGATAAGAAAAGATGTAATGTAATGATTAAAATCACTAGACTAATCTTCAACTACCAGGCAACCATAGAGGAAATGAATGGTGAAAACTAGGAAATTTAAGCATGGAAAAGACATAATGAAATCACTATGCTAATCTTCATCTACAAGGCAACCATAGAGATAATGAAAAATGAAATGTAAAAACGGAGAAAATTTAAACATGCAAGGGGTACAAGTACCAGCTCCTCAAACAAGGGTTTTGGATCTCCAATTTTATGACCGGCAGGTACTATCTCCCATGGTCTTCTAGCCCAGGCAACATTCCCATCAGAAAGTGAAATGTGTGCTCGCGGCATATTAAGCTGCTTAAACACCTTCAAGTAAACCAAAAAGAATTATAGTCATAGCATGGCATGAGTAATCAAGTAAAACTTATTATAATAAGGAGCAAAATCCTTTCCAATCACACCATAAGAAAAATTGTGCACCAAGGAGATTACCTCAGCAGAAAAAGAAGGAATAAACGGTTCCAACAAACATGCAAGAATATGAACAAGCCCCACTGCAGTTCTCATAACAATTGAACAAGAAGGTTTGTCTTCTTTGTAAAGCTTCCAAAATTGGCATCTCTGCATGGAAATTATTAATAGAACAGATCAAAAATCAGAAAATCAGCTATAAAAGGCAATCAAGAGCATTAGCAGAGTCATTGAACACTTTCAACACATTTGGTTCTCTGAACCTATACTCTTGTAATTTTATTAAATGGTGGAGGATATTTTTTCCAAATAAAACTGAAGTGTGATTTCTCAGGGTGTGGAATTGGAAACACCATGGATGGAGGCGAAACAACTTTTATAGGGCATGATCAAAATAGGGAGCCAGAACCGAATAACGGTTAAAACCCAAAAAATGAACAAAATCATGAAACAAGCCCAACCCACAGAAAAAAGCCGGAATCATTTTTTCAATTGAACCACACATGCAGTATGGAAAATGATTTCCAAAGCTACCAAAAGTTTTCCTAACTTACTTGTAAATATGCATTTCCTTTAGTTGAGAGGCCCATTGCAATTTTTAGTCCTTGCTTCAGTTTCACCTGCACAAGCGTTTTGCAAATGAAGAGTATAGATAGGACTAAAGGATTCTAATCTTATAAGAAAAAGCTGTCAAATTGACCCCGTCACCTCTTCCATGACTTCTATGTACTGCTCCACACATTGGCCAACTATCTCACTCAATTCCTTCGTCATAGGATGTGACTCAGCATCAGGGGCATCAGGAATAATGCATGCAAACCCCTTACCTGTAGACAGAAAGCAACCATCAAACCACTCTGCATATTGAATTTTTATTTTCTGGCTCAGCCAAAGGATGAAATTCATTAATGAAAATAGCCACACGGCACATACATCCAAGAAACATACATAACAATCAGAAACAACCATTACAAATATCCAATAAGCATCATCAATGATCAGGAAAATGAAGCAAGATCCAATCCTTAACAATTAACACACCGAACAATTCATCCAATATGCAGCTCTTCTCTACACTCAGGAATCACACCAACACCAAAATCCAATTGCACCAAGCCCAAACTGAATCAGTTTCATAACTTAACAGCAGACATGCAACAGCCAATCAACACAAATCACAGCCAGCACCAGCATGCAGAGCACGCAGCACGTTGTAAATTACACAAAGCAGACAAGAACACGCAGCACGTTAATCACACAAAGCAGACAAGAACATAATACTAAATAATCATTCACTTTCAGACTAAGGAAAAAGAAAAGTTAATTAAACACCAATCTTGCTGCCTAATTCCCAACCATATGAAATATTTCAAAGGCAACATTTAATAATTTCAACTGCAAATGTTAAGACCACTTTGTCAACCACGTGAAACTTGTCAAATAAAAGAAAACGAACTGCCATTAACCACACCTCAAGGTTCTATCACAGAAAACACAATTTTTTTTTCCTACCAAGCTTAAATATGAATATTTATATAATACCAGGTCAATTGCCAAAGTTTTAAAACTTTGATTCAAGTCTATCTAATGACTAACCAGGAGGTTTGGCAATAAAACTCAAAACGCGATTTATGAAGTTTCCCAAATTACTAAGCAACTCGTTGTTCAATTTTGCTTGCAAGTCTTCCCATTTAAACATGGTGTCGGAGACCTAGTTCAGAAAATAAAATAAGATCACTTGAAACAAAAAGTAAAATCCAAGACTAAAAAAACTAGTCACAAACAATGTTATGTAAATAGGGATACCTCGGGTCTATTGGATAATAAATAATATCTCCAAACTTCTACAGGTATTTTTGTATCCTTCACATCATTGCCAGCGACCCCTATACCTTTACTCTTGGAGAACTTTTCTACAAAACCAAATAAGTCAAATATAAGTACATCATGAAGCTAAAATTAATATTTTCAATTTCACTTGTTTAGCATTGACTAATCCCAGCTCATAATAAGCTTTTTCCCTACCACTTCCATAATTCAAAAACTCTGTGGCACTGATACTATTCACTAAAGTCCAGCGTTCACCGGTTCCAAGAAGAGCTGATGGAAACAACACCTGATACACAGAAAAATCTGAGTTAAAAGTTAAACAATGCATTGAAGAAATTAGTATCAGTATATATATAAACTTCAACCAGAAATCCCGCAGACACATACTTTGATACATAGTTAAGTACCAAATGACATTTAAATAATACAGTACATTTTACTTGTCAATCAAAAATACGCAAGCACATAATGAATAAGATACTTACAGTGTGAAAAGATACATTGTCTTTTCCCATAAACTGAAACAGCTCCACATTTTCAGGATTTTTCCACCACTTCTCCCACTCAGGAGTGTAGCAGGAAGTGATTGAGATATATCCAATAGGTGCATCAAACCAGACATATAAAACCTATTACCACAGAGTTTGAATGCATACAAAACATTAATAAGTGCTAAACTTATATATTTACTACCAGAATGCACTATATGGATTGCATAATTTTTTAATAACAGAATGTGTTAGCAGCAGTATAAGTTATAAGATACATCATCTTACCTTGTCCTTATAATTCTCATGTGGTACAGTAACGCCCCATTTCAAATCCCTACAAATAGACCTACTTTCGAGTCCTTCATTGAACCATGCTTGGGTTATATTAATAGCATTTTGGCTCCAAATTCCATCAACTTTCATTTTGTCAAAGTGAACACGTAATTTATGCTCAAGCTTTGGAAGGTCAAGAAACAACTGCTCCCCCTCACGAATAACTGGAGTGTTTTGGCAGGTCTGTTATCAACCAAAGCCTCATCAGTAGATAATAACAATATTCTTTCAAACTTAGAAAGTAAGGATAAAGGATATGATCTAGGCCTCAAACATCAGAATATCAAGGCTATACTTACTACAACGCCTTAGCCAATTCATGACAACTCCTATACTTGAATTGTTATTTAAGTAAAACTGTCAATTCAGATAAAACTGATATACCTTGCACCTAGGCTCTTTCAGCTCAATAGAATTTCTGTAAGTCTTCCCACAATTATCACATTGATCTCCACAAGTAGAATCATTATTACACCCTTCAGTCGGACAGGTGCCTTCAACAAGCCGGTCAGCCAGGGAACCTTGGCACGTCTCACAGAAAAGATGCTTTTCAGTACCCTCGTAAATCCCATTGTTCTCCCATAGTCTCTTGAAAATTGTGTGGCAAAGTTCAGTGTGTTGCGGAGTGGATGTTCTCCCAAACATATCAAAACTTATACCAAACCAATCGTAAACTTGCTTATGAATTTCATGATACCTAATAATTAATTTCAGAAATTAGAACAGCAGAACTTAACAGGGCAACAGCAATTAGAAAGTAGAGTAGAGTATTTACTTGTCACAAATCTCTCGAGGAGTACAATTCTCTTCCTTAGCTTTACATTCAGACGTGGTTCCGTACTCATCAGTTCCACAAATGTAAAGAGCATTATACCCTCTCAACCGACAAAAACGAGCAAAAACGTCGGCACTCAAGACACCTAAACAAAATAACCCAGCAATGAACAGGATGGAAAATAAAAATAATCTGAAAAGGGGAAACAAGAAAGACATACATCCAATTATATTTCCCAGATGTGGCACATTATTGACGTAGGGAAGTGCACTAGTAATTAGTATATTGCGCTTCCCCTGAATCGGTAGCTTTGGTGCTGGTGCATCCCCCATCGCCGACAGCGCCGTGTGGGAGGATGAACGAACGAACAGAGGGAGAGTGAAGGTGAGGATGAACGAACGAACGAACAGAGGAGTCAGGGAGAGTGAAGGTGAGGGAGATCAGAGATGAAGGAGATCTGAAGAAGCTTTATAATCCTAGGGTTTCTAAGTTAAGAAGCACAAAGACATATATACCCTTAGGATCCGTTTGGTCATTGAGAGGACCTTTCCCTAGTACGAGAGGACCGGGGAAAGCTAGATGAAAAGACAAAGGACAAAGGGCTCAAGAAAGCTTCTTTTTGGATTTACGGAAGGTCAGGAAGGAACTCCCAACCACAAACCGAGGAACGAACTCTTTGCGTAACTTATTAGTTATTCTTATCCTATGTATGCTTGATGCATGTGTGTGCTTGATCACCATATGTATGATTTAATTATTCTATTCTTCAATTGTTTTTATTCTGTTTACAATTATTCTTACTAACCCAAATCTGAAATTTCATAACCAGCTCCTCGAGGACGATAAATCCAGAGTTGTTACTCTACTATATTAAAACGAGATAATTTGCTGCTTAGTGTCCATTTTCTAACATCGATCCGTTTTCTAACTTACACTAAGACGTTATCACGCCGTTTCCGGGAGCGCGGTATTCGTTGAATTTTCAGATTTGTTTTTGTTTTAGATTAGTTTTTAATTTTAATTTCAGATTTTTTTTATTTTAGATTAGGACTAACTTGTGTTTCAAGTTTCTTATCATTTAATTTCAGAATTAAATTCTTATCTTTCTAGATTAGAATAGATTAGTTTTTAATTTCTGATTTTATTTTTATCTTTCTAGATTTAGGACTAACTAGTTTTAACCCGTGCATTTGCACGGAAAGCTATATGATAGAGGGAATAATAAAAAAATATAACAATCATAATATAATCATTAGAAAAAAAAAGTTCTAATAAAAAAATCTAAATATTATTAAACACTTACTTATTGAATGTGGGTCTTTGGCCTAAAGGTGTTACCGTAGAAAAGTCGTCAGATGACATACCTACAGTAGTTAATTTATAAAGTAAAATTGTGCACTAAAAATTTAATTTTTAAAAGAGAATAAATAATACATATTTAATTAATAATGGAAACTTTTTGATTTTAGAAGGTTTTAACAAAACAAAAACATAACAAACATAAAAGTTTGTGATGTACATATAAATATTATATGTAAAAAGCTTAGCTATATAATGGTTTTATTTGTTTAAATAATCACTATATTTTGTACTATAATCATATGAGAAATTAAAAAAAAAAAAACATTAATTACATACCAGCAAAATATTAAGAACAAAATTGTAATTTGTTGATAAATAATGATATGTGTCAAATATTTAATACATTTGAACAAAATGGCAATTTTTGGGCCCTATGAAATATATTGATTGAATGATGAAAAAGCCCAAATTAGCAGTCCATTTAATTTTTTTAGGATAGCCCAAATAAAATATAAAATCGATGAATTACAACAGGACCATAGAGAGAAAGCCCTAACTGAGAAGATCTAACCCATTTTTTTGTTTGATGTCGGCGCCTCTCTCATTTTATCTCTTCGTTTGAAATCCTTATCCTTTACCCTATCTTACGACAAACTCGGTGGATTAATTCTAATATCTATATTTTTTTGATGTAATTGTGATCTTTCAGGACAACTTCAATGTTTCATTGTGATCTTAAGGTAATTTACTGTTTATATGTAAATGTGTGAGTCTACTGTTTTTGTTGGTAATTATTTCACATTTTGAATGAGTTTAGTATCTTCAGAATTCTGCACAATCATTAAGATTGTTTTGTCTTTAATTTGGGTGTACATAATTTGTCAGTAGTTTATGTTTAAACTTAAGGAATCATTTGAACCAAAAATAGATTGCTAAAATTGTATTGGAAACATAATATTTAACTTTGATTTATGAACTTTTATTGTAATTTTTTATATTCATAAAAAAAGAAAGTAATTCGGGTTTACAAAATGATCGGTTTCATATATGCTCATCACTTGATAAAAAAGAAGAAGTTAATATGTATATTCTGTTTATTTATTATGGACAGGCTATCCTTAAATTGAACAAAGTGAGTTTATAAAGTTTGTATGTGTATTGTTTTTTTTTTTTTTTTTACTCAAATTTGTTTATAAAGTTTGTATGTATATGATGAAAAAATAATGAGTTGGTGTGAACAAATTTGTTTTGTAAATTTGAGAGTAGCAGACCAATCCAAGGAGAAAAACAAATAGACAAGTATAGTATTCATAAAAAAATTCACTACTATGAATCATGTCATTTTGAAAATTACCTGAACACTAACCAAAGTTGGGACTTTTTTAGCACTCTGTTTTCGATCGGTGTGAAGTATAAAATATCAAAAAGTATATGATTTTTTTAAAACTCTTTTAAAAAATGAGCACTGTAGGATTGAAAATAACTACAGGAATTTTTGAATAATATATGAGTTATTGAAAACTAAAGGTTTGGTGTTTTTTTATGCTTGAAATGAGAAATTAGATGTTTTTTTATGCTTGGAATGAAAAATTGAAATGAGCACTATATTTCAGCTTATATTAGAGTTTTTAGAATTTAAATAAGTCAGTGTCATAAATACAATTTTTTTGGATTATCACAATGCACAAAAATATTGCTCAATTGTCCATTTGGCCGCTCAAAATCCTTGATATAATTGTTGAATCTGTGATTTTGTATTATAATTATCATTATCCCATGAATTTTATTCAAATTTCTGGATAATTTTATTCTTTGACTGCCTTTTTATTTTTTTTCAATGCCAAATTCCGACTCACAGCCACATTTATATTGAATTTTAACATTCATAAAATGTGTAAAAATCATGGGATGTTGAATCTTGAAACTTAAATTATTATTATTACTATAGATATTACAGATTATAAAAGTTTATAATATATATAAACCAATAACAAAGTTTATTTTTTCCTTATTTTACCCGCCTTATTGTTCGCATTTGGAAATACTTAATTAGATAACTTATAAAGAATTCTTGTGATGTTATATTATATGTTGATTTTTTTTTATTTTTTTTTTGCAGGACTAATTCACAGTTTAAGAAGATGGGAAATACCTTTTTTTTTTCTAATTTGTGTTTGATAATTTGTATATGTGTTGCATTTAGTGTTATTTATTCATTAATATTTATTAATTAGGAAGGATTCTAAAAATATATATTTTCAAAATATATTTTTTAAATTTTTAGTTGTAAATATGCTGACCAAATCAAGGTTTTGCATAAAAAAGGTCTATTGATAATTGGGTCCTCTAATTAACTTGTTAATAAAAAAAATTAAATCAGAAATTTTTGATGGAGGCATGATTGGCTATTGAATACAATAAATGAGTTCTTGTTGATTTTAAGACAGTCAAAGGTTGACAAAAAGGCGGATTTGTTTGTGTGATAAAAAAATAAAAAACAGAATTAAATGAAAAGTAACATTTTTAGGCGGGAAATGACAGCTAGGTATAATTTATTAAGTTTTATTAAATGCTCATGAGCCAGTAATTATATATATATAGATTAGTAGATTAGTTTTATTTTATTTTCTTATCTTTTTGTTTCATATCTTTTCTAATTACTAACATAATCTTTTTTCCGAATCTTTTCACTCCATCTTCTTTTCTTGCGCCCCACTCCATATCATATCTTCTTTTGATTTTCTTTTCTTTCTTCATTTAATTCTCTTATCTTATTTCTCTAATTTTATTTTTCTCTCTACACTAATCTTTGTTCTATTGTGCTAAGTGAGACACACTATGTATTCCAATAACATGATGTGTTGGAATAATCATCAGTGGCAAGGTAATTTTCTTTAATTTTGTGTCTCCTTTACCGCCGCTGGTGGGGGTGGTGGTCGCCGGTGGTTTGGGTGGTGGTTGGGTGATGGAGGTGATGTGGGATGAGGAAGAAGATGAAGAGGGCTTGTTATTTTCCAGATTTAATCTTGGCCCTTGATTTTAGGTTTTTTTTACAGATCTAATCTGGACCGTCCATTCTTTTGGCCAGTGAGATGGTGCCACATCATCACCGTTAACGGTGTTAACCAGTTCCGTTAAAAAGGACCTAACTGAAACAACGTTCAAGAAATACTGGACCAAACTGTAACATTTATTAAATACTGGACCAAACTGACACAACTAAATAAAATCCTGGACCAAAAATGCATTTTGGCCTTAATAAATTTTGTTAATGATTTTTTTTTATTAGCAAGTTAAAGCGATAAATTACTACACTATGGGAGAGATTTGTAACTGTTATATGTAACCATCAAGAATAATTGATCTAACGGTTACAAATTCCGACATATAGTTCCGCAACGGGACTGTAACATCTCCTATATAAAATCAAAAAAATGAGACTTGTCCATATTAGCCAGTCATCTTCTCTTTACAGCAAACACGTGTTCACAGCCCACCTCTGCATGCATCCATGGTGTTCATCTTCTACCGCTATATACCAAATTCTTCAAACAGAACAAAATAAAGATAATAAAAAAAAAAAAGTAACCCAAAATTTAGAAAACAAAATAAATAAACAAACATTTTTAATTCACTTTGCATATACTTTACTCTGCGTAGCGTATCACCACACCTCTTCTGTAATTTCTTGATTTTCATAACTTTTTCCTCACCCGAAGCACACCACACACACACAGAGACACAGAGAAAATGAATCTGGTCAACGCCGCCCTTGACTTTTTCATGCCGCCGGCTAGCTTGCTGATGCTGGCCTTTGCATGGCCGACTCTGTTTTTGGTCAACGCCGGCGAGAGGATTTACAAGAGTTACTACGACAGTGAAAACATGGACAACAAAGTGGTGCTCATCACTGGTGCCTCCTCTGGCATTGGAGAGGTAAAAATTAAAATTAGTATAAAAATAAAATATATCGCAAATTCTTGTTTGAGCAGTCATTACGTAGCTCGATTATATTAATTAGTTAGTTGATCCCTATATTTATTGTGCTATCATATAATTAATTTGTGCCTATAGACTCAGATTTCATTTTTTTTTTTGGGATAATTTTCAAAAATTTAAAAAACTTTTCTTTGTATATTTATTTGTGTCACAAAGTGGATATTTCTAATTCAAGAAACATTGATGTGTCCATTTGGTTTAGTTTACTTGCTGTCATGCTATCAATAGTGAAAAAAATGGCTTAAGCATAACTCTTGAGTATTTTCTTGGAAAAAAAAAAATGCAGCAAATCGCGTATCAATACGCACAGCGTGGAGCGAATCTCGTGCTCGTCGCATGAAGGGAAAACAGGCTGAGAGGAATAAGCGAGAACGCGAGGCGTTTGGGGGCTCCCAATGTGTTGATAATGGCTGCTGATGTTGTCAAGGAAGAAGAATGTAGGAGATTCGTAAATGAGACAATCAGCTATTTCGGACGTTGTAAGCCAGCCCCCGCCCCCCTCTCCTTCCCCCTTTTTTCTTTGGCATTATCCATCTATCATTTTTTTCGGTTTTGGTTCATTTTTGTCATCGTTTGATTCCCATGTGCAGTGGATCATCTAGTGAATACTGTGAGTCTAGGGCACACCTTCTACTTCGAGGAAGCTAATGATTCGAGCGTGTTCCCCATTTTAATGGTATGGTTTACGCTAAAAAGATTTATTACTGTTTTATCCGAAACAAAACCAAAAAAAAAAAAAAAAACTAAATGATTTGAGAATTGAGATGGGTTATAATATACATATATACAGGATATAAATTTCTGGGGCAATGTGTACCCGACTTATGTGGCGCTACCTTATTTGCGGGAGAGTAATGGGCGTATCATAGTGAATGCTTCAGTCGAGAACTGGTTGCCCCTTCCTAGGATGAGCTTGTACTCTGTAAGTTAAATCTGTAACTATAATACTTTTCTTGTTCCATTTTTCGATTTTTTGTTATTGTGACTTGTGAGTGTAGGCTGCGAAATCGGCACTGATGAACTTTTACGAGACGTTGAGGTTTGAGGTGAAAGACGAGGTCGGGATAACTGTAGCAACCCATGGTTGGATCGGAACTGAGATTGCTGGCGGCAAGTTTATGGTCGAAGAAGGTGCTGAGATGCAGTGGAAAGAGGAACGGGAAGTAAGTTCTTCGTGTTGGGGAAAAAAAAAAATTGCTCTTGCTTGTAAACGAGCCGAGCTCGACCTCAGGGTGCTCGTGCTCGAGTTCTTAACGAACTGAGGGTTGTGCTCGTTGGGCTCGTTAAGTAACCAAGCCAAAAATCGAGCTCGGGCTCAGCTTGTTTTATTAATATTAACGAGTCAGAGTTCGAGCTTTAACAAGCTGAACTATAAAAAATTATATAAAACTTCTTTTTTCGAGCCTTAATGAGTCTTATCGAGCAACAAAACGAGCTCGACCTCGTCTAGTTTATCAAACGAGCCGAGCTCACGAGTGGTTCGTTTCCTTTAACAGCTCTACGTGCTACGACTAATCCATAAAGGGGGAAAAACAAATATACTAAACATTTTTACAATTTTTTTTGGCAAGGTACACGTGTCGGGTGGCGCGGTGGACGAGTTTGCGAAGCTGATAGTGGCGGGGGCATGCAGGGGGGACCCGTACGTGAAGTACCCGAGCTGGTACGACATATTCTTCATGTATCGAGTTTTTGCTCCGAAAGTTCTCTACTGGACTTTCCGGTTCCTCCTAACTAACGGCGGTGTGAAAAGAGCGACTTCGTATATTGGCACCGGGCGGCCGCTCATAGAGGCGGCTGACGCCGCCTCTCCTCCCCGGAAACAACTCTATCTGGAGGCGGCATCTCCGCCTGGGAGCTTCTATGGGAGCCCACCGACTTCCTCACAAGGGGCTTACCAGAGGAAATTGGAGTAATAAAACTTACGGTCTTTTACATGTTTTTACTGTTTGATGTGTGTTTTTTTTCTTTATAACGTTGTGTGTTAATGCTTGTGGAGTGGATTGGATTCTTGATGATGGGTTCAATAAGCAGCAAAACATCTGCAGACTTGCTATGCTCTTGTGATCTTTTTCAGAGTTAGTAGACTGATTTTGGAGATGGTGATCGAGATTGAACCAAATTGACCAAAATTTAAGAGTTATTAGACTGATTTTGGACATCGAGAAGGAATCAAGTTGACCAAAACTTAAGAGTTATTTGGATCACAATAGGCAAAAATGGGAGACATTATAAATTGGTGGACTGAAACTGCAATTTCCCTGAATAGAACAAAAAATAAAAAAAGAGTATGCTTTTATTCGAAAATTTCGACTAGAGATAATCGTCTACTAGAGATAATCGTCGACCGAGATATCGAGATGGTCGCGATTGTTTATACCCGAACACTCGTATTGCTGTCGTGAATCGACCCTCGACCCCGACAGACGAGCGTCGACTGCTAGGCCGGCGTCCGATGCGGCCCTCTGCACTGACCTGGGGGAAATCCCAAGGGCGGCACCGGCGGGCAGGACGAGAGGGAAGTTAAAGTTTCCTGATGACGTGTTGCCACGAAGGCAGTAGGACGCCACATCGTGGGCAACGGCAGCTGCCTCCGGGGTGGCGTATGAGCCGAGCCAGAGACGGTCGGGAGTCCCTGGGACCCTAATTTCTGAGACCCACTTCCCCCACTTGCGGCAGCGAACGCCCTTGTATTTCTTCTTCGCCGTGCTGTCTCCCGTTATGTATGCGCTGTCGTTCGATGAGTAGCTCATTTTTGTTCTTGGTTTTATAAATCTGAGTGTGAATTGAGGAGAAATTGTGAAATAATCGGGGGAGTATATATAGGTTGAAGAATTTGGAGGTCAAAATGGAAGCTGAGCGGGACTAATTTTTTATTTTTTTAAGTACTTATTTGGAGATCAAGAGTCAATATTTTCAAATGTCAAAGTCAAAGGAGGGATGGGTTTTAGTTTTAGTTTTTTTTAGTTGGGGAAAAAGGGGGTTAGAACCGTAAAACAATCTATTCGTGTTACTACAAGTTGGGTTGGGGGATGGATTTGAGGGTATTATTAGAGTTGCATTAATTGCATTTAAATTTTGTATGTCGGTGACATTTTTCCTTCTCAAGAAAAGGACAAAGAATTAAAATTCTTCTTTAATTAAATCTGAAAAATCATGAAATTGAAACCAGAGTAGCCAAAATGGCATATGAGTCACGTGTGGTATAATAATTTACTGCAAAAAAATATTTGTTTTTCTTTAGTTATCAAAATATTTTCACATCAAATTCCATAATTACAACCAACCTATTACCCAGTCTTACAATAATAGAAATTGTTTTGGATTTTTCGGTGGTGTGTGAAAGCTCAAAATATTGACCCTGTCGACAAACCTTATTTTTTTTAGACCTTATTTTTTTCCCATCTGACTGATGTTGAACATCTCGTAATCTAGTAGCTGGGGCGGTGTGTGCCGAGTCCAATATCTAAATTAACAATTTTATTGTGTTTTCTCAAGGGTGTACATACATACATACATTTCTTAAAATTATTATTTATACTAAAAAGTATGAATTATTAACATAAAAAAAAAAAGTATTATCTTTCTATAGACAAGTTGAAGAATTAGAAAGGAGGATAAAAGAGAGGAAATGAGGGGCAAAACACAAACAACAATAATAAATGCAGATAATGCTTACTTTAGGCCGGATTTGTGTGTGGAAAACTCATTGCAGAGCATTTGAAATTGAGTAAATGAAGTCCAAAAAACCGGTTCCCTTGAGTAGGCCTTTTCCAGTCAGTAGTTCAAAATCCAAGAGCAGCAAGAAACCAATCGCAGCTGCTTTCCCGTTTATCAATTCATTTTTTCCGGTGAAACCAAAACCTTCGAGCTCTTCATCAACAATCACTCTTACCCTGAAAAGAAAAATGTACAGTTCAAGTGGTTCTACTCCTGCTAGACATTACCGAATTAGTTTCACCAAGTTTTTTATTCATTGAAAATAATTGTTGTAGAAGCAAATGCAAAGCTCAATATTGGCGATGTTTGTAAAAATACTTTATAGTTTCAAAAGATGTCATTTTTCCCAGTCCCCATTCCATTTATTTGAAAGGGAAGATTTAGTCAATCCTGAAGGATAATTCTAAAACTACCCGGGAGATATTAGAATTTTTTTTTTTTTTTACCTCATCAACGTTGAC